GGGTTCTATTATTTTGTTGCCAAGTTTCAGTTAAAATGTATCTTTGAGGAATCTTGTTAAAGTTTCACTGTAAGTTCCTTTTAGTTACAGTTTCATTCATTACTTCCAGGCAGTCTCCTCCATTTTTCCAGATCCTGCCCTTTTATTCTTTTTTTTTCTCCTTTCCTGCTTTTAAAAACTTTTAAATATCCAGAAATCTTTATTATCCCTTTGACTTTTATTTTCAGCTTAGATGCCTATTAATGTCAGTGTGAATTTTTTTTCAATTTCTTGCTTAAGTCTCTTGGCTGTCAGTATAAGGAAGGGAACAAAAAAAAACCCTAATCCTTTCCCTTCTCTCTCTCCTTCGCAGCTTCAAAATCTTCTTTGGGAACAATGTTATTTAATTTAAATTCCAGGGTACTTTAGGTTGTTGCTTTTTCGGTTTAACCCGGTCGACCAAAACTTTCTCTTCTTATCTTCCTCCTCCTTTTCCAGTTCAGTTCTTCTTTGAGGTGGCCATTTCTGACCACCACTGCAACCGCCTTCGGGAAAGGGAGTAATGGCCAGCTGAGGAAGAGAGATGCGGCTCTCCTCAACCCTGCTGGCAGTCTCCCCGTTCTTCACCACCTCTATGGGGTGGCTTAGCCCCAAAACTTCCGGTTTGAGTCTCTTTGGCGACAGACCGAAATCCTCGATCGTGCGCGGTTTCGATCTGTGCTCGCTGCCAGAGCGCCCCGAAACTCTCACCAATCTTGAGCTCCTTTTCTAATTAGCCACTCTTGCCATGGAATCCTTTATCATTGCTTGAATTTGTTGAAATATGGTTTCTTAAAACTGAAGTATGCGTTCAATTACATTCAGCTTTGGTTTCCTTAAAATCAGAAATTCCAGCATTACACGACTGCTTTCCTCTGAGCCTTCTGGTACTCCTCCTTTCTTGTTTAACAATGTAAGTATTTTCTGTTGGTTATCATCATGTTAGGAACAGCTCTTCTTCTTCCTCTGAAAGAAAAGTCATCAATAAGAAAAGTAGGGAATTTGCAGAACGACCAAATTTAGCAGAGCTTAGCTTCTAGTAGTTGACTTGAAGCTTCCCATTACTCCTATTTCATGTCTCTTGGAAACATCTGCAGTAATTGCTGTTGTACCTATTGTTCTGTTTTGTTTTGGATTATAATCTTCCCAGAGGATAATTGTTAATAGCCTGACCGTAAAGACTGTAAATATGTACAAAAAAAAGTTGGTGCCTGGAATCTTACAGAAACGTCTTGTTTTGTAAGATGCCAGAACAACAATCTTCTTTTTGTAAAAGACAAATGTTTATTTTAAAATGACATTCAAAATAAATACTTGATTCATGAACCTTTTGTACTGTGTAAAAAATTTGCATTGTTTGAGCAGTACTGTAAAGCTGTAGAATAAACAAGAAAATATTGCAATCTGTACAGGAGAGGGAGAAAAAACACTTAATTTTTATACAGTTTGACTAATCCAGCTCTTAACTACTGCATGTTTTTAAAGATGCAGCTCTGTAAGTTGTTTGGTAGTTAGTATCTTGGTAACCTAATGAGCACTGCAAGACATACACTGTTATTCTTTTGAAGTGAATACCTTGAGGATTCAATGTACTGTAGTATTGACCAGAAAGCCTGTGGAAACAAAAATGTTATTTCTAGTTAACATGTCTAGTGATAATTGTAATTGTGTCTGAAGAGATGATAATTGTGTCTGAAGAGATGATTCCAACTTTCAGCAAAATTGCATATGCTGATTTATTAATATACAGTACATTTAGAAAGTCATAGTAATTGCAACATGTTAAGTACATCTCGTTACAGTGGACAAGTCTGTATATTTATTTATTTAGAAAATTTATATAGCTGCCCAACTCATGGTGACTTCACGTAGCTTGCAGAAATAAAACCTCAATACAAAACTCAATAAACCTCCATCCCTTTGGTGACCAAGAACTCAACCAACCACTTGATTAGCTCCATATCATCCTGGGATTCCCCAGGCCCATTGGCAAAACCAGGTCTTCAGGTTGCCTTTCAAAAGAGTGTCAGAGTGGGAGCCAAGTTTATTTATGCAGCAACAATGTTCCACAGGGAGGGAGCCACAAAGAGGAAACTTTCTTCTTGGTCCCATCAATGACCCTCCTTTAAGCGAAGGGACCCAATATATATCCCTATGTCTTTGTTCTGATGGGTTGAATAGATATAACTGGGGAAAGATGGTTCTTCAAATAACGGCTGCAGATAAGGGCTTTAAAGATGACAACCAACACCTTGAATTGAACCTGGAAGCAAACCAGCAGTCACTGCAGCTCTCCCAAAAGAGGTGACACATGTACAAATCTAGTCTTGCACAAAACCATGCAAGCCATCGCATTTTTAATCAGATACTTTTCATCTTAATACAAACTTGTCCATTCAACAGTCTTAATAGTGATGTGTAAATGGAATGGTTGTCTATTCTCCTAATGTGTGTTTCCTTGTAAGTGTTGAAAAATGAATGGGTGATGGAGAAGCAGAGGGAATTTATAGAGAGGATGCATGGTAAGTATAAAGCTTATGAGGGAGCAAAGCAATAGCACTTGGACTGTATATCGGACATTAATACAATTGAGTGAGTCCAGAAGTATTTCACGAGAAGAGTACTACACTCCTCTGCTTGCAAAAGAATAGCCTACATCACCAGGCTTGAAATTTTGGGCTTGGACAACCTAGAACTACGCCGTCTACGGTTAGGCTTAAGCATAGTACACAAAACTATCTGCTACAATGTCCTACCAGTCCATGACTACTTCAGCTTCAACTGCAATAATAGAACATACAACAATAGCATACAATAGATACAAACTCAATGTAAACCACTCCAAACTTGATTGCAGAAAGTACGACTTCAGCAACAAAGTGGTCAATGCCTGGAATGCGCTACCTGACTCTGTTGTTACATCCTCTAACTCCTTTAACCTTAAACTATCCACTATTGACCTCACCTAATTCTTAAAAGGTCTGTAAGGGGTGTGCATAAGTGCATAATCGTGCCTACCATCCTTGTCCTATTGTTCCCATTTATTTGTACCCATTTCTTATATTTTTACTCATGTTTATACTTATTCCTATTGTAAGTGATTGACAAATCAAATAAATAAAAATACCAATTCATAGTGCTTTATAGCACACAGTTTACAGAGTTAGCATATTGCCCCCCCCCCCCCCCCAAAAAAACAAACAAAAACCTGGATCCTCATTTTACCAACTTCAGAAGGATGGAAGGCTGAATCAACCTTGAGTCAGTCAGGATTGAACTCCTGGCAATTATCTGGATTAGCCTGCAATACTGCATTCTAACCACTGTGCCACCACAGCTGTATGTTGCATAGATGTGCTTTTTAGGATTCCGTATGTATAAGAGATTGGTTGATATATATGCCAAGGCTACTTCTGTGGGAACACACAAATCTTTCATGGATTTGTAAGAGATAGGAGAAGAAAAAGGATACTCTTTAATATTGAGTTTTGCAGCTCTCAATAAAAGACTCAACAGGATAGCTGCACATGGGAATAGATTAGTGACAATTCTGAAGCATAAAAATAAATATTTAATATGAAGACAATGTGATTTGAGTTTGAGAAGGAATCCAGGCTTTTTTCAGTATAGTAATTGTTTCATAATTTCAGTTTAAACTGAAAGATATGCAGTATATACATTGTATGACATTATGCACAAAATGCTATGCAGGTTTTTCAGCTGTTTACATGTTTATGGAAATGACTATTTTGTACATATGGTCTTAAACAAAGTAGAAAGCGTTTAAGAACCATGCAGTTCATATCATCTCTGATTGAGGGGTCTACTTCCGAATCATTTTATTTGAATGGATATCTATGAGAAGTAATAGCAAACTGCAATATTTAAAAAAGATTATATGCTCTTTTCCATCCCTCTCCTTCTCCCTCTCCCCCTTTCTCTCCTTCTCTCCCCTCATAGTAATTACAAGTCAAGAGTAAAACATACATGTAAAACAGCTTATAAAACTCTAAAATGTCAAAATCTTTATGTGCACTTTATCTGTTTACTTTATTTAAAAACTGCCAGAATTTGAAAACGGATTAATGTTGTTGTAAGCTTGATGCCACTGTGCATTTGTCAGGCTTCAGCAAGTTTTTACCTTAAGACCTAAAATGCTATGGTAACAATAAAATAACTATATATTTTTTCTTGCATCAGCCAAACTGAAAATTGCTTTTGTTAGAATGGCAGAATTAAAATAACAAATCTATATGACTGCATATAAATAAGAGAAATATCCAACTCTTGAGACAGAAGATCAAATATTGTACTGCTTTCAGAATAGGTATATGCTATATATGTTATATGTGGTGTATTGCAAAGTTATGACCAAGGTGTTCAATATATCATTTTGTTTTTTACCTTGAAAAATAACCATGATTTGCAATCTTGGTTAAGTAACATTATATAATGATATCATAATCAAAAGAGCTGAAAGATGTTATAATATTAATATTGTTAATTTAACATTTAATTTAACGTTTAAAATTTAACATTTTCAGACCATACTTTATATAACCGAGTTTATTTACACTTGTGTTTGTACCCTATTGATTGGATAGTTATGGAAGGTATTTATTACACACAGCAATATCATTGAAGAAGTTACACTTTTTGCACCTTATTGTTTGACTCAGAGCCTTAACGAAAGCTCTCAAATAGTAAAGATTGAGGCCTGAGTGTGACAGTAATAATTAATAAAATTAATAAATAATAATAATTATTAAAGCTTTAATTAATCATTATTTTTAAATAAGTTTTTTCATTTCTGAGCAACATATATCTTGTTCACTAATATTGAAATAGCGGTGTTAAGAAAAGGTTGTTAATAAACATGATATTGGGTGAACTGCATAACACTTTATGTAGTATATGCGATATATTGCAAAGTTATGACCTAGATGCTAAACATGTCACCTTTTTTTTTTTTTTGCCAACAGTTATCTCTGGAAGATGTAAGTGTCTATACTGTTTATTATTAGTATTTATTATTAAACTATTGCCTGAATATTTGACAGTCTATATGACTGCAAGTAAAATATCCAACTCTTGAAGCAGAAAATAGAATGTAAATATCTATAAAAAAAATCAGAATGAATGTCATCAAAATATCGCTATGAATTATGTCTGACTATATGTGCATAAGTTGAGAAGTGTTAATCTATACAGGTAGTCCTTGACTTCCAACAGTTCATTTAGTGACCATTTGAAGTTACATCACTGAAAAAAGTGACTTATGACCGTTTTTCACACTTACGACCATTGTAACATCCCCATGGTCATGTGATTTACATTCGGATACTTGACAACTGACTCATATTTATGATGGTTGCTGAGTCATGTGATCTCCTTTTGTGACCTTCTGACAAGCAAAGTCAATGTGGAAACCAGATTCACTTAACAACCGTATTACTAATTTAACAGCTGCAGAGATTCACTTAACAAATGTGGCAAGCAAATTTGTCAAATGGTACAAACTCACTTAACAAATTTCTCTCACTTAACATACATTTTGGGCTCAATTGTTGTAAGTTGAAGAATACCTGTACAGTGTCTTTCCTACCTCCAATCAATAATATAAGCTCTTGTATGCATAGACCCTAGCGACTGCTTTTTCACTGGGAGACTGATTTTAGACCTTTTTTTTCTCCTGCCGTCCTCTGAAGAAATTCATATCGCAGTTGTAGACAGTTAATCACAGCTAGAATTTCAGAGCTCCAGGAATGCCAAGGATACATGTATATCACTCAAGGTGATATAGATGTGGTGCAATACGGTATATTTCTACATCTTTTTATCTGAAGGATTTGTAAAGTCTTTTCTATTTATTGGTATTTATTTTGTGTCTCCTGGGCTCATACTGGAAGCTGTGTGTCTTTTTGGTTTTATTGTAGCTTTTCAAACTGAAGTCTGGTGAATAATAATAGTTCTCTTCCGACTGCATTATGCAAAATATTTAATATTCTTGCAGTATTTTTTTTACTCAATCACCATTGTTCGCAGGAAATGAGGAAGAGCACGTATGAATTGATTCTTTAAACTGTATGAGTAGTCTGTGTTTAGTGATCATTGATGGAACTGATAACTTAATCATTAAGCGAAGTGCTCACTAAGTGAAACCATGATTATGCTTAAGAGCTTATTTCAGGTTTCCTTTGCTTTACAGACCTTGAAGATTGTAAATGTGAGAATAGATCACAAAATTTATCTTCCGTCACGATCATAACTGCAAATAGTTGCAGCATGAGGCAGGCACTAATTGAGGATTACCTGTAACTTCATTTACTGTTTCTGGAAAGGAAGTTAAAGACAAAATTTACAAAAAAATAGTGAACCAAGCAAACTCTTTTTTAAATGAATATGTCATTTTTGAAATGGCAGATTGTTTGAAAGGTCATTTACTTCGTTAAAACCAAGTTTGTTAGTGCCTGGTAGAAATCTACAGGAAATACCAGAGTTATAGGCTACATTTGGAACTAAAATAAGCAGAACCTATTAGCAAAGTATTTACACATTGTGATCAAAGTATTTACACATTGTGTCCATGAAGTCACCAGAAATTGGACTACACTAGAAAGAGAACTTACTTTTCTATCGTATCTCAGATATATACCACAACTAAATGTACTTGGAAAAACACTGCCTGTTACTTTTGGGGTTGAAGTACTAACTAATTTACCTACAGGTAGCCCTCGATTTACAACCATTTGTTCAGGTTGTGAACAAAGGAACTTATGACTTGTGTCTAAAGTTTTAGCCATTGCAGTGTCCATGTGCTCACAGGATCAAAATTTAGGCACTTGGCACCATCCACACAGGGGTGCTGCAATTCCAACCCATCTGTCTCCCCTTCTTCTATTCCTTTGTGGTACCTACCACCCTGTGCTCTGCTGCAGCAGCTTTACAGTTTTCTTGTTCCCACTGCTGATAAGACATCCCTGGCCTATCTGCTGGGCCAGGCCAGGACTGGCTTTGCATTGTAAAGAAGAAGAAAAAAAGAAGCTGCTTTTGGCTTTTTTCTTTTTCTTTTTCACAATGCAAAGCCAGCCCTAGATCTATCCAGCAGCTCTTTGCAAAGGGGCATGTTGGCATGCTGCAGTCAGGGATCGCTTTTGGGTTTTTCCCCTCTTTTTCACAGTGTGAAGCCAGCTCCAGTCTGGCTCAGCAGGCAGGCCAAGCATGCCTCATCAACTATGGTAGCAAGAAGGCAGTGAATGTCAGCTGACGTAGCATAGGACAGAGCAACGGAGGTCTCGAAGTGCCAGGTGATATAATGAAATATGAGAATGACTTTGCGGGATGAGGGGAAAAATATTGCCTAGGGAACAATCTCAGAGAGGCAGGATTTCAATACCGTGTTTCCCCTAAAGTAAGACCAGGTCTTATATTAGTTTATGCTCCAAAAGCCTCAGCTTTGGGGCTTATGTTCCAGTTTGATCTTATTTTCAGGGAAATACAGCACTTAATTGGGGCTTATTTTGGGGTAGAGTTTATAGTACGAGCATCCTGAAAAATCATGCTAGAGCTTATTTTCTGATTAAGTCATCTTTTCGTGGAAACACAGTAGATTAACAGCGAGAGGGGGAAACTTAGGAAGTATCTGCTCTAATTGTTTAGGCAATTAAAATGATGATGGGAGGTTTGTACCTTCATACTTGCAAGATTCAGAAGAGAGTAGAATTAGCTTATCTATTCATGTTTCCTATCTGGTTTACATGGACGGGATGTCAGGTAGTAAGTGTGACTTGGATTAAGCTGGAGTGACTGAGGTTTCCCAGGCCGTGTGGTTCTGGGGCTGCTTATCATCTTGCAAGACAGGGTGTAGGGCAGCCCAGAGGGCAAAGATGAACAAAAGATAGGAATGGCTTGGACTGAGTCAAGTAATTTGCCAAACAATGGCAACGGGGCCTGCTGGGATTGTGGTTGCTGGTCACCATGAAGAAATCCACACCCTTCCCAAAATGACAGGGCATGCTACTCTATACAAATTGGAAGCAAACCCTACACTCATAATGATGATGTTATCTACTTGTGTAATGCAAGCAAACAACCAATTTAGAGAGCATCAAGAATTCCACATATTTTTTTTTAAAAAAACATAGCTAAATCTAACTGACAGCAACACCGGTCTCCATTTCTATCCATACCTTATTCTTGGAATCCATCTTTGCTTCCATTATGTCCATATATGACTTTGTAAAATGCCTTTTATTTTTTATAATTTATAACTGTCTCTTTGAGAAGCTTTATCCAATCACAACTTTCTTCATTCCCCCACTTCCTTTCAACCAATTCAGTCATTTTGTGTGTGTATAATGTATAATATAATATGATGTGATATATAAGTATTGAAATGCAATCCTGATTTATTCTGTTTGTAAAACCAAGCTCAACTTATTTCTTTTGTGATGGGCATATACCCATTCAGTCAACATTCATTTAGTATACGTTTGTTTTGAACCCTATTGCTTCATTCTTGACCCTATTCAATCTTTCATGCTAAAATTAATTGTAATTATGTATTTCCCCCACTCCTTATTTTTGATGGAACCTATTTAGAAATGATTGACATCTTGAACAGAGGACAGATGTCAAGAGTTGTTTAATCTTCCTCCTATCATCCATTTGTCTGTTTAGTATCTCATAGTTCCTACTTCAACCTCACTAAAGGAATGACTCTCAAATCCGTGGGATAGGAATGAAATTTAGATCAGGCAAATGATTAACAGGACTAAAGAATTCCTTTCTTTTCCCATGTTACCAGTATCCCCCTTAATAGTTCACTTTTCTGCAAGCTTTTCATTAATGGAGAAAGAAAGAATCGCACAGAAAATGCAACTGTAGATAGGTGTACTGTATCTATACTGGTTCATAAATAACCTATGCTGACTGTAAATGATCTATCAATATAAAAATTAAATTTTGCTAGAGATCAGCACCAGAGTACCCTATTGGCTCATTGGGAATTATCATAGGGATTCCTTCTTGTGCTTAGGAATGCTGACTCTTAGGCAAGATAGATATGGATAGATAGATAGACAGGCAGACAGGCAGACAGGATATATGATTAAGTTACTGTGTCTGAATGTATGAACTTATGCATTCAGTATAAGAATAAGTTACAGCTTTTTTTGCACCTACTGAGGATAAATACAAACTCCATTAATCCATATAAGTTATTTATTAGTACCAATAGATAACTCTTTCCAAATAATCATTGAGCAGAAGAAATGGGGGATAACCTTATACCTGACGTCTGTATATTCCACTGATTTTCTGAAATAGATTATACACGTATAAGCTACAAGCTCTGTCCCTTTGCAGATGAGATTGGAAAATTAGCATGAATCTAATATTCTGCTTGGTAAGCTCTTCAGTAATGGGAAAAGAGATAATTTTTAAGGTGTATCTGTTTTAAAATAATTTATAGAAATGATTTCATAGGAATTAATATGATTGGGAAATCAATATAAAAAGACACAAGTCATGAGTTTTCTGGGAGAACATCCCGTATATGGAGTACCATCACAGAAAAGGATCTCTCCCTTTTAGAGATCCAGCTCTCCTCCTTTGAGGAGGAGAATAGAATAGAATAGAATAGAATAGAATAGAATAGAATAGAATAGAATAGAATAGAATACTTTATTGGCCAAGTGTGATTGGACACACAAAGAATTTGTCTTGGTATAAATACTCTCAGTATACATAAAGAAAAGGTACATTCATTAAGAATCAAGAATCATAACGTACAACACTTAATGACAGTCATAGGGTACAATCAACAATCAAATCATACTAGGAAACAGTCAATATAAATCGTAAGGATACAAGCAACAAAGTTACAGCCCTACAATCACAAGTGGGAGGGGATGGGTGATAAGGAGTGATGAGAAGATTAACAATAATAGTAGTGTACACTTTGTAAATAGTTGAACAGTGTTGAGGAAATTATTTG